TGCGGGTGTACGTACGAGCGGCGGCGTTACAATAACAATAATACGGGGAGGGAGGTGGAAATAATAACTTTACCCGGACGCGGACGCGGTCGGCAGTCGGCCGGCAGTTCCGAGCGTTTCGACCGCGCGGCGAAACCGGCTCGACGGGCGCAACAAAGGAAACGGTACAGGCGCCTCGGTAATCCTCGTAACGATACGGCCGTCGCGTACCCGTACAGCGCTGGTTCGCGTGGCAACGCCCGCCGCGCGTAAATAACGAAACGCGGTTCGACGACGACGGTGCGGGCCCGCGGGCCGAACGCGGCTCTGTCGTTTGAACCGGAGCTCGCGCCTCCGCCGCGGGACCGGTCTTATGAATCTCGAGGACCCAACCGGTTGCGGGACACGAACAGTAAACAACGAGACCAGACACGCGGAATCGTGCGGACCGCGTGCCCGCGTAACGTCGTTTTTATTGTACAACAGATTATACGAACAGATCATTTGTACGCGGTTCCGCGTGATTTTACGTTTCGGCGTTCGCGTGCGCCCGAATCGCGTCCGAATGAATAATATTACAGCGCGTAATTGGCGGGCAAGAGGTCGTCAACGCGCGAGTCCGAGAAGTTTCGCCGCACACCGCGATATTACTATAATTGGAGCGCTAAAGAAACATTTTTTTTTTTTCTAAAAAGCGCACTCAACCCCATCCTCGAAAAACGCCTCGAAACGCGTTTGAAATTTTTTTTACGACTTCCGAACACGCAGTAAAATTGAATGAACAAACAACTGAAAAAATGAAACCCGGAACGTTTTGAAAACGGTACCGCGCGTCCGGGAACTATAAGTATTCGGTGGAAGCATCGGGTCTCTATACGGCTGTTTTTCAGTTCCACGACGAAAAAACCGCCGACGTTGCGCACATTTTCCCGTTTTCCGATGTTTTTTCCCGGCTATTTGTCATTATAGGAGAACTACAAGAAAAATCCAAAAAAACTACATGTCCAACGCGACAACTAGACGAAATGCCCTGGATGTTGACGATTTTTGCGAGATATCTAGTGGAAAAGACCCCGTCAATTTACATCGCTCAAAATCGAAAAATACTCATACTGCTGTCTGATATAAATCATACAGTTCCGATATCAAAGACAATAATGGCATATTGTGTTGTAATAATATTATTAAACAGGCATCGAAATGGCTCTTCTCGTGGTTTTCATAATAATTGAGTGAAACCAGGATATAATGTCGGGAAACGTGAAAATTTACCAAAATTGATGCTTTTAGTTAAAAATAAAGAATACAAATAAATTCAAAATGGGTAGTGTCGCTAATGGGTGGCTTCTTCCCTCAAAAGTGCCACATGTAACTCCTTTCTAGTACATTTGCTTATATTTTTCTAAAAAAAAATAGATTGACAATAAATACCTTATGAAAAAAAAAAATTTTAAAATATTCGTAGTAATTATTATAGATCAATTAAAAATGTGAAATTGTTTTACAGGAAAATATTTTTACTACCTACACGAAACAATAAGGGTTTACTATTATGTAATTTATTGTATTCAACGTATATATTTTATTTTACTATAATATGACATATCTATTATATATTGTTGAAAAAGCAATATTGTTAACCGAGCCCCGCTCAGAATCGTTTTTTGTTAATAGTTGTTAATTTTTGCAGTATACATTAAATACCCGCTCTACCATCCCAACTTCTCGCCTACAACAGTGGCACACTCATCGTGCGAAGTATAACCGTTTGTTTTTTAATATCGAAATCATTGAGTTTTCATTGGTTTTTGTTTTTTTCATGAGCATACAGATATGTTTTTGGGACGGGATCGAAAATTTGCCGGACGCTTTTATTGCAATGCGAAAAATTTAACACTGTTTATTATACAATCAACTGTCAATATGTAGTTCCATAAATCCATAGTGTGTACCTAATAAGTAATACAAAACTGTTAAATAAAACATAGCTTATAATATTATATTTACTTATGCCCACTAAATAGTATAATATTATATGCCTACATAGAATACATAACACAGTAGACTTGGCTAAAATACTTTAAAAAGTATTTAGAACATGTATATTTGAATACTTTACAAAAATTTAAAGTGTCGAAAAGGTTTTTTTTCGAAAAAAACAAAGCACCCATCTTATAGTCAAGCGTAAAAATCCTCTGAAACAGTATTTCTTAATCGTTTTGACAATACTTAGAGTACTTAGACCACTTAGAGAACTTCCGATAGGTCTTGGACCACGTCGATTTATTGATGAGCTTTTTTTTTTTTTACTTATAAAAATAACGTTCACAAATTTTCGTTTTTTAGCTCAATGACGTCTTTCTGAGATATTATCATCAGGTATAACCGATCGACATTAACAATAAAATGGTTTCGAATCATACTTCGAATGCCTATATCGGGGAAATTCGTCTTTAAGTTCTTGCAGATGGTGTAAAACGTCGTGCTCGGGCCTCAATTATCGCGAGGTCAGACGGTTCCGACAATTACCAACGTTTATGTTGAATTATCTTTTTACATTTTGTAAGTACGATGGCCCGAGTACCACAGGTTAAAAACCTACGCCCTAAGACCAGACTCAGTATTTCGTTATGTTCGCGGCGTGCAACGGAGACAATTTTTTGTTTTTTAGTGGTATTTCTATCGCATAATATAATAATGTAACTCCGTCGCCGAGCGAAATATTATAATTAAAAATTGTCCATAATAACCCCGTTGCGTATTGCCAGGAATAGTATTTCGCGTTTTAATATTTACAATTTTAATTAAACCGTGAGTGTAATAATATTATCATGACCTTTAGGTTGTAAGCAATTTTCGTAATTTCACAGCGTTCGCGTGCACCCGTACAATATTATTTCGTAATGGCGTATATACGAGTTTCGAAAATTAACCATACGTGTTTTTAAAAAATATTATTAAATATATGGAATATAAATAGGAATCGTTACACGAACAACGTTTTCGCATTTTTAATAAATAATTGGACTAACTATATATATATATATATGTATATTATAATAGTACTATGTACGCATAAAATATCATGTTATTTCTGACTGGCCGAACGTGTTACACACTGCTGAAAATAAAAAAATTCAATTCTTACAAACGGCGCGGGTTTCGTGTTTCGCGAAATATTCAATATAATAGGTACGTGCGAGTCGGCGAAAAGAAAAATGATTAAACATCGACGGGTCAATAACTGCGCGACTGCCGTTGCACACGCGGTATTATTACGACTCGGGACCGACGGGTTCGAGTACGCGCGTATTATAATATTGTTACATAGGTACGTGGATAATAAACGTATTTTTATTTCGCGTGTGCGAATTCTCGGTAAGACCTAAAACACAAAAAAAAAAAAATACTAAACTAAACAAAGTCCGAAAAAGCGTTCTGGCGACATCTTTACCCGTACCCGCGGTCTCCGTCCGCGCCGCTATCAGTCTGTCGTATATCATAATAACAATTTTGATTTACTGTGCGTCGTAAACGCTTCGAAACGTTCGGAATACACCGAATAGGCACGTTCGTATGTCTCGCGGGTATACGCAATATTATAATTTATAACTGTTATACGGAACGATTCTTTGATCGTGAACGGCCGCGGCCCATCGTGGAGTAGCGGTGGTCTACGAGGACCCGTAGGAGAGCGTATTCGATTTCGGATCGTGTAAACAGTACGCATAAATAATATTATGTTGTTACGCACTTGGTTTGATTTGTAATCAGTGGCGGATATGGGGTTTTTTTTTTTTTTTGGAGGGGGCAAAATTGTTCATATTAATTTTTAACAATGAACACTGAATATGAAATACAGATAACATTGCAATCAAGTGTCAATAACGTTATCGACTATAGCCATAATTGGTCCGACCGCAATGCGAACGACGATTTATTATCATTATAAACTCATATTATCACAACTACAAGTATAACTGTCAAAGGGGGGCAGGCCCCACTGGCCCCCTTTAATCCGCAACCGGTTTTCATTGCATTATAGTGTGTATATTCAAAAATTAAAAATAGTACACCATACGCTTGAAATGTAATTTCGAAAGTTTCAACAGTACACGGCGTCGGTTCTTTACATTTTTACTTTAACCAGTAAGTAAAAAAACTTATAATGAACATCCAATTACATTTTCAAGCATTTCTGTCTGACCAAAGAATTTTCATATTCGCATAGTACGTACCTAACAAAAACTATGTAAAACACGCAAACATAAAATGCCTATTAAAAATAAATGTATCGATCTAATATTTTTTTTTTTAAATTTTGACAACGTCTAGAAAAGGAACATATTTCTGTCAACATTTCATGTTTCTATAAATATTTTCGACAGAATTTCAACAAACAAAAAAACAAACACGTATAAAATTAAAAACCATTAAATCCGTAAACTTTCCCGTCTTTTCCGGTTTTGTTCAATTAGTACGGAAACAATACGAAAACTCATAAAACTACTCTGGTATTCACCGACAATATCCAAAATGCAACAAAACAGGTCTGATGTCGATTTTCTATTGGAGAAATATTTTTACTGGTAGAAAACACAAAGCGTAAAAATTTAAAACAATGAAATCGTTACTACGCGAGCCGTAAATTTGTCAGTTTTCATTTTTCGTCTACAATCAATATGAAAGCTAATCGGGAGATAAAAAACGACTCATTTTCTCGGCAACAACATCCGAAATTCAACAATAATGGACCCTTCGCATAATTTTAGCGCGAAAACTATAATAAAACAATAATTATGCCGGCCAACGTGGTATAAAGTTTTATTGAAAGTAATATATGGTGCTGGCCGGTATATAAAATAACGAACGTTTCAAATGAAAACTATGCAATCGTATTGCGTTGTTTATTTCATAATATGTTTTGCCGACAGTCATCCATACGATTTAGAATATTTTACTTCGATAAGTCGTTAAAATTGTAACTTATACGTACATTTTTTTTTTCAACTGAGTTCGCCGATTATAGATTTAATTTACGTTCGTGATCGTTATTATACTACAGCTATTTTCCATTGGACCGCAAGCCAATTATTATGCCGTTCAAACACGCCGACACCGAGTCTACCGAATTCGTATTTGCCTATGCACGAGATGGACATAACATATCTGGTTACCTTAAGTAGTATATTTGAAATCGACTTTTGACTATGCCTGAGTAAGTATAAAATTTTAATAATTATATAGGTACCGTGCGGACAAGTAAGCAACTAATTTCTGTTCGGTGTGTAATGAGTGTGTTCATGACTATTATTTTAATTTTATTTCTAATTAGATTCTATTTAGGTGTATTTAGATTGTACAATAGATTGTAATCGAATGCGGAGAATTAATAAACTCGAGAAAGACAATATATATATTAATTTTACCTAACTTCAGATAAATTCAATATTAACCTATATTAACAGTTATACGGTTGTTAGTACCGCCTCAATAACATAAATACAGAAAAGCGGAGAATCTGAAAAATTGAGTTCAAATAAATACTTCGGAGTTCGAATAATATGGAAGACGTTGCCACAAAGCTATTCAAAAACGTNCATTTAGATATAAATTAGTTATACTTTAGATAAATTCAATATAAATCTATAAAAACTGTTATGGTATTATTAAACGGTTGCAAGTACCGAGTCAATAACATAAATACAGATAAACGGAAAATATGAACAAATAATGGGTTCAAATAAATACTTCGGAGTTCGAATAATATGGAAGACGTTGTCACAAAGCTATTCAAAAACGTACCACGCGCAGGAAAACACAGCTAGACTGCCCGAATTCAATATAACATAAATACATACATTTAGATATAAATTAGTTATACTTTAGATAAATTCAATATTAACCTATATTAACAGTTAAACGGTTGTAAGTACCGAGTCAATAACATAAATACAGATAAACGGAGAATATGAACAAATAATGGGTTCAAATAAGTACATCGGAGTTCGAACGTTATACAAGACGTTGCCACAAAACGACTAAACAGCAAATAGGTCACGTATGATGTAAATATGGATGGTTGTTGAGAACTGAGCTGGAAAGCACCTATACCACGTGAAGGAGAACACAGATTGGCTACCGGAGATCGATATGCGAAAATAGGAAATCTGTAACAAACGAACTGTTTGACTAGTACTATAGTAACTATACCTCTTCGTTACGTTTTCGCCATTTTGCAGTTCACCGATAGTAATTCTAGTTTTTTTAAGTTTAGAATGCCTACTATACTTATCTATATAAGTATATGTGCATTACAACAATGACTATAGTTTTATCAAGAGAGAGATGTGGAAGATTTATTCGTTATGCGGTCAATTAGCATTCAATTCGTCATTCGTAACGTTGAAAGTACCCACCACTACTAGATTGCCTGAGATTATATGCAAACTGAAGTATGGAGTGAATCCGTAAGACTTGGCGTTGGAAAGCGAAAACTGGAGGTAATTTTTGTGTGTTATTATAAATGACAAAGGCGAACTAGAAAAAGCATGGTTAAATTTAACTATTAAACTTTTAACTATACAGAATACAGTTAAGTTTAAAGTGTAATAATATCTGTACCCCCCCAGTAATTACTATACCTACTCGTTACGTTTTCATATTTTGCAATTCACCGACAGTAATTCTAATATTTTTTTATTTAGATCACAGAATTCGAGTCCGGAATACCTACTATGCCTTGCTATTTAGGTATATGTGCATTACTACAATGACTACGGTTTCATCAAGAAAGGTATGTGAACGTTTTGTACATCATGCGGTCTTGTTTGCATTCGTACCTGACGCTATACACTTTTCATACGTAAGTCGTTTATTTATATATATGCATACTATAAATTTACTAATATCGCCTAGTTAGACGTGTGGATTAGGCCTGGCGACTAGCTGGGGACACCACGAAAAAAAAAACGGGCCGAGTGTAATACCTCATGCTTATTATAATAATATGTGTACCCGAAACGTACCATTATTTAATGAGCTAAGGTGGTATGGAAACTTACACAGGTACTCCGAATCAAAATAAATATCGGGTAAATTAATTTTTCTGTAGTTTTCCCTTGCATTGTTAAAAATACTACAAGGGAAATTAAAAAAACGGACTTATTAGTTAAAATTTCCTTTTGGAAAAGGTGCTAAACTTGTTAAATTAGAGTAAGTTTTTCTGTCTGAAATGTTGAAACACACATCATAGACCAATAGATTTTAATATTTCGCTCCGAATCTAAATCTGCTATTAAATCATTATGCATCAATTTTTTTTTCAAAATAACTGCAAAGCACATATCCCGACTATAGAAATAAAATACAATATGATAATACAGTCTTTCTGTTGAGGGCTCGTTACGATAATGTTGTTATACCAAACGATATGGAAATCAGCACGTTGAAACGTGTTAAACCAATGTCTAGGAGAGATTATTAACCAATTTCGTCATTGAAATATACCACTAAAACGTAGTAATAGTGTACACTATATACCGTAATATAGGTATTTAGGTTAGATCAGAACCATTGGTATACCAACCACTTTCTTCATAACAATATCCACGACATTATTGTTACGATACTATATTACAATTTACAAACAGAATATTTGTTTATTGTTTTATTTTATCTCAAATCAAAAATGTAAACTGTTTAAAATTTAATTCGTCTTTTTCCCGGCTGTTGGCCTTATTGTTGAAGCCGTAATAAAAATTAAAAACAAAAATTTAATCTACGACACAGAAATGTTATAATAAATTACTCGAGAAACGGGATAATTTGTTTGTGTATACATATTAATTTTAATTTGTCTCGTTTCAAATGCATACATTATTTATGTGTATGAAAACTATTCGGCAATGTTTAATCTGTATCCCGATTATAGCGTAAATTAAGCCAAAACTTATTACTATAGTTACGATCCAAATTTTGTACGATTCCAATTTATAGTTTACTTTTATTTTTGTTTTTCATATTAATTTGTTTGTCGATTTAGGCGGGTATTTTACATTTATTTTATCATATTTTAACTATTTTTTTATTAATTTAATCATATTTATTATTCCAGTGTATATTATTAAATTAACAAAAATTAGGCATAGCTCTAATATGATCCCTGTTTCGTTTGAATAATTGTGAATTATTGTCGAATTAGTTAATTCGTAATCATCGTGTTTTTCAACAGTCCATCTCAATCGTGCATTTATAGTCATTATTAAAACAATCAATTCGAACTTTCGATCGTACTAAAAATGTAAATTTTGGAGATACTGACAATTTTTTTGTAAAGGTCACAGTTGCTTAGAAAAAATAAAGCAAACGAAATCCAGTCATCTCTAAATCACTAAAAATCACTAAAACAGTGGTTCCTATTTGAAAAATGTTTATGTTACTGCGCAAGCGCGGACGAAAGTCTTTTAAAGTTACACTTTTATCATAAACAAGTGTATTTATATATGTCCTGTACGTAGTAAAAAAAAACCAGATTCAAATTCAATGTTTGAAATATTTCTTGTTACCTTTAAAATTGAACACACGGTATGTACGGTATATACGATAGACGACCAGATCCAATATTATTATTATAGTGATAGGATTTGTATTTGTTCTCCTCTACTTATCGTAGAACAGTAGCACTTGTTTTTTATGCTTCATATTTTTATTTTGGCATTTGTAACTACATTAAATGATTATTTTAAACTTTTCAACAATAATATTTATTTATATTTTATGTCATTTTTTCGGTATTTTTGTCAACATTGTAGATCATTTTTATTTAACTCTAGTTTTCAAAAGAAATTTTTTTAAATTTTAAAAGTAACTTTTTACTATTATTGTTAATAGAGGATTTTCCCTCGAGTTAATTTCATGGGGTTTTTTTATTTTTAGCTTAATTTAAATTAGTATACATACACGAAAAACTAATGTTCAAAACGTATTTTAAATAAAACTTATTTGAATATTATCTCTGAACAATACAAGAGCTTTCGAATAACTTATAATTGAAACATTTTTAACGATTTAGTACAGTATTTTATGTTAATTAAATCGTAAAAGCACTGTTTTTGTTTGTTATTTTTTTTTAAATCGCCTATGTCGCGTCTCTAAATCATTATTATTACACTGACACGGATCCGGAACGTAGATCTGCGGGGCGGCACACCCCTCTCCCGCGGATCATAGATAGACTCGATTGTTTCAACTATCATCACGGCATTGCCGATAGGGTTTCGGTGAAACGTTTCCCGTAAGACCGGACGGATAACACGTCTGGGGGCCCGGGGCACCTACCTATCTATCCACCCGATCCGTCCCTGGACGCACAATACTTTATTGTGCGCGAACGGCGCGATCGGAATAATCGTCGAACGCCTTTGTAATGCGCACAGGTGCCTAGCTAATGGAATGAAACACTGCTACAACGTCTGTTGCGCCGTTATAATTGATGCGTGTAAGTGTGACAAGCCGACTAAAAATACCGTGTGATATTGTAATAATACGCCCGTGTAGAGCAATGCACACGCATCGCTCGTTTTTACAAAAATTAGAATAATATTATAGTATCGCGTGTGATAACAATGATGTCAATAAATTAATAAAAATTCAATGGGAACGCGAATGCGTACGGTCATTCGCGTCACGGCACGAACGGATCGCGTTTGAAAATTATCATACCGGGCCATTATCAGATTATTGGGCTTTATGATTAAACGTAATATTACTATACTCGCGTACTCGTTATATTGTTATTATTAATATTATAATTATTATTATTATTATCGTTATTATAATACAGGCGCGCCGATATTGTACCACGGTCCGTATTGTGTTTTTCGTTAATCGTGGGAGGGGTAGGTAGGGGTGGAAACCAAATATAAACATACCCACCTGTTAATTATTATTCAAATTTCGTTCCCTCTCCGCTCCGTATATTATTATAACATTATAATACCGTCGCAGGGTGTCCGTTCCATAATCTGCGTCTGAATAAATTCCGGACCCTAATTTCCGTGAATACGTAATATATCCAAACTACACAACGTTATAATATAAGTCCGAATTACTTTTTTTTTTTTTTTCCAAAATAATTACCGGAAACAGCCGACGGTAATATCCTTTTTATGTGTAGGTACACGTTGAACAATGGACCTGTTAAAAAGCAGTCGAATTTCTCCATGGTCACTGAATCAAGGGTTTAAATAACAAAATAATAATAACAATAATAATAATAATAAATATAATAATATATAAAACAAAATATATGCACTGACGACGCAAACCAAATTATGGTTTTTTTTTTTTTTTTTTTTTTTATTTTTAATAATACACTAAATAATAAAAACAGGAATCGGGTGAATTTGTAATGCATAATTATTATTTTTTAGTATATGAGTTGGCGTCAAAATTAAATGTATAGAATACTTTTTCGAACGTTAAAACCTAACAGTCGCCTGTATAAAGGTACCGATGATCATTTTAGATTCTAAACGGACCGTGGTTTCGTCATTGAATTTACTCTGATGTTTATTACTAATATATTTTTTATGCTGTGTACGAAAATTCTACAAGTTACCTTGTTCCGATGTATCAAATGTAGCATTTTGTCTGTAAGGGAATTTTACGTATTTGTTTCTTTACCCAGGTCATTTATTGACTGGCCAAGCAGTTGTTTATAATAAATTAGGAAAATTCGAGAAAAACGGAATCATTTACAAAAATTATACTTTTATTATTTTAATTTTTTTTTTTTTTTTGTTATTCAGTTCAATATATTCATTAGAGACTTGAAGTTTGGACAGAAAAATTATATTTGAATTTTCTAAACGTGATAAAACAGTTGAGCCAATTATAGCAATTATAGACAATTTAATTTTGCGAGTTTTTTACGTAAATTTTTATTCGGTAAATAATTACTCTATGGACAAAATGTTTGCACCATGTTAATTTAACAGGAGGTTCATTATAAATTTTATTTAGTGGCCAACAAGAAAAAATTGAGTTTAATGGTGTATTTTTTTTTTATAAGAATTTTAATATCAAATTTTTACTAAAGTTGTAAATAATACGACTTTTTAAAACATGTATTCTGAACTCCACTCAGAATAGTTTTTCGTTAGCAATGAAAAACATTTATAAATATATATATATATATATATATTAAATTCTCTTCTATATCCTATCTTCCCAATTTATCCAAATCAGGGGTTCACCTATTGTGCGAAGTGTATCCGTCTTCTTTTTTTTTATTTTCATAAATTGTGTATAATAAATGCGATGTATTAATGAATTAACGAATCAAAAGTTAAGTTAATTTTAACTTATTACTAGTTTCTTTTAACATTAGTTTCATGATTATAAGGAGTTAATTTTCAATTAAACTGTAATTACAATACTAAATTTACAATATATTTTTTTCACTCAATATTGTGTGCTGAACGCTGAATTTAACATTTGATATTCCCGGAATATACAATACGTTTAACATTAATTGTAATATTTAAAAAAAAATAAAGAAAAACCAACTCCGGGATTAATCATTACTTTATTTCTATATAATAATATTTATTGTAATTATATTATTGCGTTGGATGTATTTTCAAAACAAACCGCAAGATTGGAAACGAAACGCTACGAGTTATTGACTTATTGCGACATATATATCAGTATTATATAAAATATTACATATAATATGGTTTTTTATTGTTTTGTTTTTTCTACAGTGCATTCGTAAATCGTGCCGACGGTCCGTTATCACCGGTGGTGTATAGAAAAAAACCGCTACGAGACCT